TGCGCTCGGGGGGCGGCCCGGCCGGCCCGCGGCGACTTGTCCTGTCCCGCGGTCGCCGCGCGAGTGGCCCCGGCTCCCGGGCCGAGCACCTGCTAAAGCGGCGGGAGGGCTTGCACCTCCGGGACCCGCGCCTTCTTCCGAGGCGGAAAAGTTGCCGCCGGTCGCCTGCGCGGCACCACCACCAACCCTCGCTTCCTTTCGGCGTCTGGGTGACAGGGCTCTGGGCTTGGGATCGGGACTGCGTTTCCCACAGGTCTGCCGCGAGCGCACGGAGTTAAGTCCGGGGAGTAAGGAAAAGCAGAGAGAAGAGCGGAGACCCAGGCTAGGACATAAATGCTTTGCTGAAGGTCACGAAGGGCTAAGGCCAGAATCCTGAGATTGCAATTCATTAAATTACACCTTCTGTCACATCCTTTAACACCGTTTCCCCGAACGGGATAGTAGCCGCTCAGAGCCCATGCCTTGAACATTCACAGTGGGTGTGTGCTGGTGGAATGATGCCTTCTAGATCTTTCCAGTTATTTTATACTGGCCTATGATATGAGCTAACGGCCGAGATAGGCGAAAAGTTCCCGTCTGAAATATAAGCTTAGTGTAGAATGAACTGAGTGAAATCAGCGTCTTCATTGGTTGTTGTTTTCTAAGGGCATCTTTCTTGTAAGGAACTTGCAAAACTTTTAAAATAGCCTAACAAACTAGCTATTTATAAAGTTCCAAGAAAAAATAATGGCGTTTCTTCAGTTTTTCTCTGTGTACTATCTCTATAAAACACCTTTCTAGGTACCTGGAGCTCCTACTGTTATTTTACAGTTAAAAGCAACAAAATAAACAGCCAGTTGAGACTTAAAGAAAGGTTATATATCTGTTAAGTGTGACTGGTTTCTATTGAGAGAAAGTAAATGTGGGTAGAGGGCTTGCCTGGCATGCACAGTGCCTGGGTTTGATCCTTGTCACAGTGTAAACTGGCGAACACCTAGCACCCCAGCACTCTAAAGGATGAGACAGGAGGAACAGAAGTTCCAGGCCAGCCTGGACTAGATGAAACTCAACCTAGGAAAACAAGAATGAATGAATGAATAATTGTAAATCAAAATGAAATAAGAATGTAGCCAGGGAGAAGTAGTCACTAGTAGAGATTACACTGAGGACCGCGTTGGAGAGGGAGTCTGAGGGGCAAGCAGAACGCAGTTGTCAAGAGGAAAGGCATGTTGGATGGGAGATAGGAGCTAGCAGAGTCCGTGCTGGAGAGGAGTGATCCTGCCAGTCTTCCTGAAGTGTTGAAGGAAAGGTTAAATCACCCAGAAGTGTAGTTTGCATCTCATGGAACGGGCTGAAAAACATACACTTTTCTGTTAGTAAAGAGGACGCACTGACATTTGTTGAGAAGCACTAAATGTAATGGATAGAATAAACCTGTAGCAGAATATAAGATGGCCTGACTGGAGGGCATCTATTTGAGGAGAGGAAGTGGACATCAACTTGATTTGATTATTAACTAGATGGAGAGTGCCACATTGAAACAGAGCATTTTGATAGGCAGGTTAATGACTTCGGTTTTGAGTCTTTGTACTTTGCATTGGCAGAAACTCCTGGTAGATAGTCGGGTAGATCGTAAAAACACACTACTGTTGAGGAATGTATTAACTGATTCAGTAGCTTTTGGTGCCATGAGTGGAGGTGATAATTGAAGCTTCAGAACCGGGTGAATTTGTTATTCTCAGTTAAATTATAATAGATTTACAGGTAAATTGTACAATAAAGGTTATGTTCTGCTCGCCAAATTTAGACCCTACAAACTTACTGATAATGATTAGTTAAATATAATCCAAGGAATTTGATGCCTTCTCTTTGTGGTTTTGGACACAGATATGAAAAAGCAGGACTGCGGAAAGGAGTGATGACCAGTGATCTTTGCCCAGGCTGGATGTTGAAGCTCATGCCTCAGGACACCTACCGAGAACAGTGCACCAGCTACTGGGACCAGCTTTCCATCTACTTAGTGCCGCTCTGTGCCTGAACTGCTAAAGCCAGCTAACCACAAATGGCTACCCAAAGGAAACACTTGGTGAAAGATTTCAATCCGTACATCACCTGCTATATCTGCAAAGGCTATCTGATCAAGCCAACAACAGTGACAGAATGCCTCCACACATGTACGTATTTTTATGTTATCTGCTCATCAGACTTAGCTCTGTGCTCCTTGTAAACAGCTGTGCTTGCTTTTTGTCTGGATTTTAAGTTTTAAAAGGCAGTCTCAGAGTTATTTCCAAGTTAATATTCAGAATTTTTTGTCACAGGGATGTTATAAGCATGAAAATTTTCTATCAGTTGGATCTTAATACATGTTGACTTTTAAAATTGGTTTGTAAAATGTTCTAAAAAGGTCTTAATTGGTTATGAATTTGCAGAAAGTAAACTATTTCAGATTTTGTTTAATGACCCTGAAGGAGTTAGAGCATGGATATGATCGATTCCTTCACCAGTCACATCATTGTCAGCATTTCCTGAGAATCTAGCAGGAGTGAGGCTGTCTAGACCCACTTCTTGAGGGGCCTGTGTCCAGCACCTGTCCTCTAGGGAGTTGGCTCGGGAATTCTGAAGCAGGTTTGAGACTGTTGTACTATTGCCATAGCTGAAGAATTTCTAAGATTCCATTGTTTCCTGCCGTATCAGAGGGAAGGAGACATTTTTATATCCACTTGTATGAGTATATGTTCTGTGTTTTCTGCTAGTATAATTTTATTTTCTTACTTCAGTGGCTCAGTTTAATGTCTATCAGACGTAAACTAGATGCTGTATGTACATAGACTGAAACCATTTTAGCTTTTCCATTATCTTGAAGCAGTTTGGAGTGAGTGTAGGGATGACAGTATTCTGATGGTCCTCATTTTATATATGTGAAAAGAAAGTTTCACTAACTCAGTCTCACAGCTAATGAATGAGTGGCGGACCTGAATTCAACTCCAAAGCCTGTTCAGTTTCTCATATAACAGCAAAGCCTTTTTCCAAACCTTTCTTTGAGCTCATCTCCCCCTGCTGAACAGATAGAATTCATACTCATAGTTTCAAACAAATGAGCCAAATAAAAATCACCTGGAAATTAAAATGACAAATTTTATGTTATATATAATTTAATCACAATTTTTAAAACAGGATTTTATTGAAAGCTGTTTGAACATACTGATACCCGCTGGGTCTTGTGGTCAGGTCTGGTCGCATACACTGTGGAGAGCTGTCTAGTGGTATTGATGGATACTCCTGGATATTAGTTGGCTTAAGCTGTTCAATTAGCAGTTAACTATGAAATGTCTTCTATGGTTAATTTGCCCTTGCCTTGTATTTAACTTGAACAGTTAATAAATTGTCATTGAAAACATTTATTGATTATCTACTATGTGTTAGGTTCAGTACTAGTACAGATGATTCAAGAGTGCTCAAAATAATAATAAAATCTCTGATCGAGTTTATATTCTAGGAAGGGAAACTTATAACATGTTCAATATTAGTTGGTGATGAATGGCTTGAAAAGGAACAGATTATAGATAAGGATGGGGTTATTTTATATGATGTCATGTCAGCCTCTCTGTGCCATTTTAACAGAAACTTTAGGGGAATGAGCTCTGTAGGAATATGGGAAGAACCTTCTAGACAGGGAATAGCAAGTAAATCCAGAGAATATTCTTGGCAGGTTCAAGGAACACCGGATCAATTAAGGCTATATACGCAAGCACGCACGCACATGCACTCTACCTACAAGACCTAGGCTTCAAAAAAAGATAAGATTTGGGATAGAGGTAGTGAAGAGGAATTGAACTGTGGATGCTTGGGGAGGAGAGTCATTAAGGTGTGCACACTGGAGTGGACAGTCAAGCACATTTTGTTTCCTGTTGTACCTGCATAGACCTATATATGGTTCACAGTCTTTGGTTTTACCGATGCATTGTTTTCCTAACATTTGTGCATTGTTTTTTTTGTTTTTGAAGTAATCTCTTTTTTGAAGAAAACCAAAAGATTGTAGAAGTATACATAACTAGTTATAAGCAAAAATTGTTTTTACAATCTCCCTGATCAACCATAAAATTTTATTGAGCTATTTGAAATACTACTTTGCCATTTATTTTAACATTGAAGAATACACTGTTACAATACTTTAGAGAAAAGTATTATTTTCCATAGAAATATTAGCTGAGATTTTCTCTTTTTTTTGCCTTTTTTTATTAACATTTTTTTCATCTACTGTAGTCTGATTACACTTTCCCCTTTCCAAACTTCTCCTCTCACCTACCTACCCACCCAACGCCATGCCCTTTCTTTCTCTTTTTAAAAAATAGACAAGAAACTCAACCTATGCGTGCACACAAACACACACACACACACACATAAGATAACCCACAAAAACACAAAATTGGAAACCAAAATATATAAGTAAAAGACCAGTAAGACAAAAAGTGCCTAAACAAAGCAATATGAAACAAAAAAGTCGACAAAAATACCATTGAGTTTGTTTTGTGTTGGCCATCTGCTGTTACTCCTGGGCATGGGGCCTACTCTCAAGTGTGGATAATACACCCAGTGAGACTCCATTGGATAAGACTCATTCTTCCTTTGCCAGTGGGTACCTATTGCAGATAGCTTTTTGGCTAGGGGTGGGAGCTGTGTCCATTCCCCCTCTCAGTGAGGACCCCATCTGGCTTGTACAGGCCCTGTGCATGCTTCCACGGTCTGTGAGTTCATATGTGTATCGGTCCTGTTGTGTCTGGGGACAGTTTCCGTAGAGTCCTCCATCATCTCTGCCTTTTACAGTCTCTTTGTATAGGTTCCTGAGCCCTGCAGGGAAGGATTGATGAAGACATCCCCTTTAGGAGTGAGTGCTCTGTAGTCCCTTAACCCTGTGCATGTTGTCCAGTTGTGGGTCTCTGTTAGTTCCCATCCACTGCAGGAAGCTTTTCTGATGGTGGCTGATTGAGACACTAATCTATAGGTATAACAGAATGTCATTTGGAGTCATTTTATTATTTTTATATCCTTTTAGCAGAACAAGAATATTTGGTTTTCCCCTAGGCTCGTGAGATAAGTGTTGTCTTCAGCAATACGCCCTTACTCTCAGTTTGTGGAGAACAGCCAATAGCCTTAGCAATAGTTTGTTGAAATAGTAGTTGAAAGCTTAAAGAGGTAAATAACAAACCGTACAAATCATTCTGGTATAAACAGTCCTTTGGCAATGGCCTGGCCCCTTTACTGAGAGTTGAAGTGATTGAAGTTGAATTTTAATGGGAATACAATGGTAATCCCAAATGTGGACTTTATCATCCACAGAGAACCCTGGACAGAAAATGGTGGAGTCAGGTATTCAGTCTGGTGCCTGAGATCTGAGGACTCTATAGCACATAGCATGGTACTTATTAACTCTTGGGTGTTTGGATTTCTGTGTTCTGTGTATTTTTATATTGAACCTTTAGGGGAAATAATCCCACTTGCAAAGCATTCCCTTATTTGTGTTGATAGCATAAATAGTACTGTAAAGCAGCATTGCTAGGCTTTGAGGGGGTCTTTTGATGGATGGTCTTCTGCTAGGGTTTTTCACCTGTAATAATGTAGGACAATACAGTTGTATAATGATTTGGCATGGCTATAAAATTGAGTACAGCAGCCAAATGGGAAAGGCAGGAATTGAAAAAAATTAAGTGACACTGTGGTACCTTGTAGTTTTAGATGTTGACTTAACTTTATATGAAGAGTGTCTTATTAAAAATGTCTATACAAAACTACAATGGAATGATAAGTGAGTAAAGAATGAGTAAGCGTTTATTCTTGCTGTGGGAACTAAGAAGACTTCTGTTCCATTAGTCAGTCAAGTGAGAAATGCATAAGTGAAGTTAGGCTAGTGATGAAAACCAGACATGGAATCTGCCCCCCTGGCTTAGCCACTCAAGTTGGGGAAGAGTCAGGGAGTAAGAAAACAATGTGTAAAAGAAGCACGGTGGAGATGGTGGACATGATAGACTCAGTGTGCGTCAGGATACTAGAGCAGAGTGGAACTGAAGACTTTCTGAGACCCCTGAGGCCTTGGGCCTTCCCAGGTGGGGCCCCATGCCCTTGGGCCTGCTGCAGCAGAGCAGCAGAGAAGTCTTCATTGCAGGGCTTGACGTGGGCAAATACCTCCGCCTTTTCTCAGTTACTGTAGACGGCTTTACCTTCCTCCTTCCTCATTCTCTCCTTCTCTTTGTTGTTCTGGTGGTAGGTTTTGTTTTGTTTTTTGGCTTTTCAAGACAGGGTTTCTTTGTGTAGCCCTGGCTGTCCTGGAACTCACTCTGTAGACCAGGCTGTCCTCGAACTCACAGAGATCCGGCATGCCTCTGCCTCCTGAGTGTTGGGATTAAAGGCCTGTGCTACCACACTGGCCTTCATTCTGACTAAAATATGTTTTTAATTGAAATAGAGTACATCATTTCCTCTTTCTCTTTCCTCCCTCCAGCCCCTGCCAGGTACCCTCCTTCAGCTCCTTCCATGTCCCTTCCACTGTCAAGTTGATAGCACCTCTTTTCTTTATTATTGCTACATATATTTGTACACATACTTATATACACAAATAAATAAACAAATACAGCCTGCTGAGTCTGTTTTGTTGTTCGTGTGTATATGGTTTCAGGGATGACCACTCTGCATTGGACAGCCTATAAGAGGGCTCATGTCGAGGAGAGGCTAATTCTCCCAGCAGTCATTAGTCACCTGTAGTTCTTCTTTGTCTGGTATTGGGAACGCATTGAGCTTTTCCTCCTTCCACTTTGATATGCCCATTGATACTGTCATTTTCCAGTCTTGTTTATGCAGCCATTTCTAGGAGAGACTGTTTTCACAGCAGAATTCCTAGTATTCTGGCTCTTACAATCTTTCCACTCTCTTCTTATGCAAAGTTCCCGAGCCACAGACACAGGAGCTGTGATAGCTATGTGTCCCCCATGATCCACTGCTCTCTGCATTGTGTCCTTTTGTGGCTTTCTGTGATGATCTCCATTTGGTATAAATACGGGCTTCTTTGATGAGGGCTGATAGCTACACTTATCTGTGGGTCTAAGGATAAGACTTAGAATGTAGTAAGGAATTACTCTGGTCTAGCCAAATAGCTGTAGTAGATTCTTTCCCAGTGACCCCA